TGGATTGAATTTTAAAAAGGTTAATGAAAACCATGTGAACAACCCGATACGACTTGGTTGATGTTAAATGTTGTATAACGCCCATTTTTTCGAAAATGAGTTCGAAAAATTTTATACTGGTTTTTGGAAAGTCTGGAATTTCTTTAAAATCAAAGTGAGGTGTTACACGTACACCTGATCATCCTAGGACCACGCTTATTGCACTTAACCATATGCAACCAGGACTCTTCCTGTGGCTTTTCTTCCTCTCGTTCCTCCTCAATTTCCAACAGAAAAAATTTCCCTACCTTTATACTTGTGGCCTGGCACAAATTTCTCGTTGTAAGTAAAGCACAAGCCTTTCTCTCTTCGCCTTTGAATTTCATTATCCGTCAACCGTCGGAAGTTGCTTTTGTGCATGTACCTTTGCCGACTGTTGGCTTGATCTCGGCCTGTTGAGGCGTATTGTCGACCGCGACGTTCGCGCGCCGTATGTCCGTGCGCCCCTCGCTCGGCTTGGCCCTGCGCACTGCCGCAAGATGATCCTCGTGCAGTCGTGCTGCTTCCATCGCGGATCTCGTCGATATGGGCTTGTCCAACCGCACCTCAGCAGCCAATTCAGCCTTTAAACCTCCAACAAACGCACCTACAAGTGCCTTCTTGGGCCAATTGCGTACCCGACTTGTAATCCTCTCAAATTCCTTCTGATAGTCGCGTAGACTACCAGTCTGGCGTATCCTTGTCAAGGCCACATCATAATCGAAGTATTCACTAGATCCAAACCTGGCGATGAGCTCTTTCTCAAAATCTCTCCATCTGATTTGCTCGCCTTTGTTCTTGTAAACGTGTGACACCCATTGCCACCATGTGTTGGCTTCACCATCTAAATAGTAGGCAACAATTTATACTCTTTCAGACTTTTGTACCTCATTGTTCTCGAAGAATTGCACGACACGACTTAACCATGCATCCAGATCTACTCCTTCGAACGTCGACATCGTGATCTTTGGCCTCGCATGTGCACGCTCCTCGCGATGATGCCGATGGCCGTGCATCCTCCGTTCCCCGTGGTGTCGGGTAGTGCGCGTCGCGCGCGTTCCCCGCGACTGTTCATCGTCGTCATCGCGACTGGACGTCGAACTGACCGTTCCCGCCAAGGTTGATCTCGATGTGCGGCTCCTCCGCATGTGGTGGGTGACTCTCTCGAGTTTTCCCGCCAAGTCGTGTATCATGAGCTCCAACTTTGCCATGTTCTCGTTGACCACGTGTTGTCCGTTGCCAAGGGACCTCACGTTTTCTTCAAGCATATCGAACCTCTCACGATTCGTCATGACTCTCTTTTTTTTTCAAGACTCTAAAAATTTTCGAAAAAAGAAAAAAGAAATTCGAAAAATTCGAACCAAAGGGAGGAAAAAAAATAACAAAAGACTAGATAACACTTTGTTTTTAAGACCCACGAAAATTTTTCGAAAATTTGGAGAAAAATTAAAAAAAATCGGAGAAAAAGGAACAAAAAATCAGACCAAAAGAAAAAGAATGGGATAGGAAAAGTTTAACGTAACACACAATCGATCACTCTCAATGAAAGCACCAATGATGAAGATTCGTGTGTTTCGTTCCACTCACTTGTCTCGAACACAGCTTCGCCACGACCTTGCTCTCGACGATAGGTGTGATCGACTCAGTTATTAGCCTAACTCTCTCACGATACTTGAGTTCACTCGGTAATTAGCCTCGCTCACTCGATTTTGAACTGGCTCGGGTCTTAGCCTCACCAATTCGATTTGTATGATCGAACTCTCACAAATCCTAACACACGGTTTGAACAAACGTTCTTTTCTATTTCATCAAATCCAAGACCTTCAAAAACCAATGAGGGAGCATCCCTATTTATAGATCCTAACTATGACTAGTTCTAATCTACCTTGGAAACTTATTAAAGCAATAAAATATAAAATTCTTAAACAATCTAGATATTATTGTGCAAGAAGAAAACTAAATATACTAGAGTCCTAATTAACTAGATTGTCTTGATCTTGCTTGGCTTGCACTCCAAACAATTCCAAATTCACGCCCCATAACTCTCGGCCGCCCTACTTCGCGCACCGCCTCGGCGTTACTCCTTGTCGCGCGCGACAATTCGCGTGTCTGCCTCGCATGCCGCCCGCTCGCCTAGTCCTTCACGCCTTAGGCTTCGTGCGCCCGTACCCCACGCGTCCTCTTTCGCGCGCGCCTGCTGGCCGCTGGCTCCCTCTCGTGCGTGCGCGCTATCGCCCAGCACTCCTATGCCTTCTCG